TTTATCGGCATCACCGAATCGGAGTTGATGCGAAGACGCAGCTTTGGTACCAGGGTACATGTCCGATTCCTGATGATATACCCAGCTTCTTGACCGAGGTTCAACCCGAGATTGAAGTCACCGATGACGGACGTAGGCTTATTTCAGTAACAGGCTGTGATTGATCGTGCTCATGAAGTTCACAGTCGGCCTGTTATTTTTTGACGACGATGAGGATTCGGACATCGAAATGCATATCGCTGCAGGTCCGAATGCCACTGGCACCCAATCTGGCTCAAAGCCAAGCATATTCAACCCTGCGGATCCATTCGCGGAAGACCATACCAATCGTGGAAAAGTGTCTACGGGGGGGTCGAGCATCTTGTATTCCCCTGCCCGGACCGACTCAGGCCCAGCACTGTCGAGAATCACCGTGTTTGCGTGCTCAGCCATCGGGGGGAGCATTGCTGCAGGGTTCGAGGACAACACCATTATCATTTGGAATGCCATGACATCTGCTGAGACGCACAGACCGACCTCCCATCACGCTATCTCCTCTCTCGGCTTCTCCCCCGACGGACGCAAACTTGCCTGGGGCCAATGCGATGGCGTTATCGTTGTATGGGACCTTGTCGAAGATCAAATGATCTGGCGCACGGTTTCTCATGAAGATGATGTCAAGTGCATCGCATATTCACTGGATGGAACGTTAGTCGTCTCCGCGGCGGGTAACTCGGTCGCGAAGCTGTGGCATGTTGACACAGATGAATTGCGCGCGGAGACGGACGAACACAACGGTCTGATCATGGCTGTCGTGTTCTCTCCCGACAACAAGCGGTTCCTATCTACGAGTGCGAACGGTACCGCATATGTGTGGGGCATAGAGACCGCTTCGCGTATCTGCGATCTGCGGGGGCATGAGGGGGTAATCCACACTGTTGCATATTCCACCGACGGGAAAAGGGTCGTCACAGGGTCCGACGACGGCACTGCCGGAATCTGGGACGCACTTCTTGGGACCGAGATCGCGCGGCTCAGGGTAGGGCCAGCGGGCGTCACGGTTAGGGCCGCGCAGTTTTCTGCAGACGGGACGAAGGTTCATTGCGCCGACAGCGAAGGGATCATCAGGACCTACGATTCCAACGGCTGGGACCTAATCAATAGCATAGACTGTGGCGACAAGCTTGCCACAGCCATGACATTCTCTGGGGACGGACGCCTGCTCGCAGCAGGTGGGGAGGACTATGTCATCACTGTGTGGGACATGGCGGCACAACGGGAGATCGTGCAGTTAAGTGGACACACCGACAGCGTGAACTACCTCTTCATCTCTCACGACTACACCTATGTCGTGTCCGCTTCATACGACGGAACTCTACGCAAATGGGAGCTCCCGGATTTGACAGCAGAGACTTGAGGTACGCACCTGTCGCTTCCACCGTCTGTGGTATGGGCACTGACTCTATGGTACTTCCCTGCTCAGAGGCTCGACAACGGAGAGAAGAACAGCATACATAGCGTGTTGCCGCCGTTCTTGCCTGATTGAACCGCAAATGGAACACCTTGTGGGGCTGTACAGGACAGTACACGGTGGACATGTAACCAGAGAACGCGGTAATTGATGAGAAGCTCGTCTATCGGGTATATACACGCAGGTTCACAGACGATTGTGGACCAAGAACACAAGGAACGGCGAGCCGTACCTGAAGTATCGGCAGGTAACATCTCGCCATCCATTGAAATTAACCCGGCTTATTCGCCTCTGCCCGGAACCCCAATCCTGCGACTACATACATCGCGTCGTCCAGACAGAAATCGACAGCTACTCTGAGGACTGCTACCACATGGCGAGCCTGAGACGTGTGATTACATGACGCGGACGAGGAACGGGATGGCTCACAAAGTCATCCAATGAGTATCGAGAATTCGCGACATGCTATAGTGCAGGGATCGAGGGGAATGGCAAAGCTGCCTGCCAGAACACCGGATGTCATTCGAGCATCCAGTCACCGTGACGTTTTCCTCGGTCCGTTTCCTACAACTGTTCTTGCGTTGAACTGCTGCGGACAGACCAGGCCGCTCGTGGTCGATGTACCCGGGCGAGCGATCTGTCTACATCTGCAGCTCTATTTCGGACATGCCTCAACTCGAGCAAGCCGCGAACTTAGAAGTGTGTCCGCGTACGGGTGCTTGACTGTCATGGAGGGTTATATGAGCATCTGATGATTGATAAATGCTAACGACTCCAAGGAGTACATATTCACCGAGCGAGGCGATATCGACATGTGGCGGCAGTAGTTCATGGACGCGTGTCGAATGAGCGCTCCTCGCTATCCACAGGCAGACTGTGAGCCACATCGGTCGAACGTCGCAAGAAAAGCAGGCACTGACCCAGTTCGGGCTGCTCTCTTCGCCGCCTGGGCCTACGCGCGATGATCATACCAACACGACCAGCCAATGACACCGCGTCTTGTATAGCAAGCCGACAGGTCCAGAGGTAAGTTGTCGCAGGGCGGCAGCGAGCAGCGAGAGGTGGTTCTACCTACTGATAATTGAAAAGGCACCACTCGTCCTCGATCTCGGTCTCGTCGCTGGCGAGTGATAACCCTAGCCCGTGGTCGCTTGGTTCCCGATGATAGGGTCGCCGCTGGTGTGCATCGGGGGCATGCCTCAGTCTTCGTCGTGCCACGACAGCGAGAATCTCGACCGGAGTAGGACACGTACGCCTGTGCGAGTGAAGGGCGAGGATAGCGATCAACGCCGGTGAGGGGCCGGAACACTTGTGCGGAAGACCAGCATAGCGCAACCTGGAGCGGAGACATCGCCGTGGTTCAAACGTTCATTGCGGAGACCAATGCTGTGCTTGTGGCGTAATGCGACATAGCAAGGCATGTGTTGCAAGGTGGAAGAGGACGTCGGTTTTGTGGAGACACGATGACATGGCACACGCTCGACGCGCAGAATCGTACGCCCATGTGCCGCGATCTAATGCGGCGTGACGCACATGGTCAAACGAAGGGAAAAGGGGTTGGGCCGGTGGCTGGGATGGATATGAGCAGCAGCACATGCGAAGTCGCCGGCTCGCTGGGTGCATCATCGTCGCACATCTACCGTTGCGACATCCACCATGGCGAAAGGATGGCTGTCGCGAGCGGTGTTGCGGCTTCTCCTTGGGAGGACTCAATCGTAGGGTCCCTACAGACAGGTACGCACGCCAGGGAACAGGCTTTCCACGGGCGGGCAACTCATCGCTCGGCCTCCCGAAAGGGCCAAAGCAACCGTGCATCCGCACCGCGACAGACCAGCACCAACGTATCAGTCGCTCACTTGATGTGGGCCGTATGGTGGTCGCCCTGGACGGCCTTAGACGGGTTCATGTAGTGCGGGCGCGCTCGTGCCTATCGCCGTAATCGACACAGGAGGATCGCTTCTTGAAGCTAGCGTTCAAGTTGCTCGTATCGCGTAGAGGCCAACTCGAAAGGGGTTTCTGATGTGGCCTGCAGTACATATGTCTGGAGCGCAAGGCCGCGGACAAAACAGCGAATGGCGCAAACGGTGTGCTGCTGAACGTGGAAGGCTCAGGGAACCGGGCCTTATGGACTCGGAGAACGGTATAAGCACGCTCTGAATCCATTTGCGATGCGGCTGTAGCCACCGTGAGCAGGTACATCCAAGGAGTTGTATTCGTTGCTCACCGATAACGACATTGCTCTGGCGATCGGCGTATCTCAGAGTACTCCGAGTCCGCATCATGTGCGCTTTCAGTGAAGAGCAGGATACTGTCGTAAGTCGAGATTGCGAACGCTGGAGAAATACCGCACGTACCTTTTCAACACGGAGTCTCCAACACTGACAACCTCAGACCGCGCCTCTTGCGATCCTTCTCCATACTTATCATCGCTCTGAGGGCTTCTTGACTCCAGGGAAACAGAACAGGGTACGAAGAAGTCGACGTGGTGGTAGGAAGTCAGACTCCGTACGCCAATGCTTTCGTCTGGTACACGGGAAATGGAATCGTTACATTCACTCAAGAGCGCGCGAGCAGCCAAAGTGTAGTTCAGGACAGACTGACGACGCGACGTGATCGTGCAGCGAGGAAGGAGCCCAAAATCAAAGTTGTTCGCAGAACAGAACCGGCGCTAACTCGCTACACTCGGGTAGAAGCGCCCGTGCATTCGTACCAGCCATTTCGTCATCCCAGAAAATACAGTAGTATGAATCGTGCATCGTTATTCGGGACTCATCCAAGGCTAGAAATCACAGGCATTCGATGGACATTTTCAATACTCGGGCGCGACCCCGCCGGAAGCTGCCTACTCGGAGACGGCGCTGGCGCTGGCGGTCGACGCCCGTCAGACGTGTGCCTCGACACGCTTTAGCCTGCTCAGCGACTGTCCCTCGCCCTTCGCGTCCACTTCTTATTGCTGTTCAACGCGGGCGCTCCTGTTCCCTGCACCGTGCTTCTCCGTCTCGCGGTAGAGTAGGAGATTGCCCAATATACGACTCGGGCTCCTAAAGACCCCGTCCGTCCATCGCTTGATGCAACTCTCGTCCTCGTCGAAGACGAAGACAGAGCCCGAGGTGATCATCTTGCGCTCGGAATCAACGAGGCGTCAGGTGACCTAGACAATGTGCCAAAGGTGCCACGGTCCCCCACTCTCCGTATCCTTCCTCGTCAACGTCTCCGAGTCAGTGAGCAAGATATGCGTGTGCGGGTGGTCAATATCCATCACGTATTAGCGCAAGCAGTACCGGCATATCTTCATGGTAGTAGAGCCAAATCCGACCCCTCCCGCACTCGCGTGCTTTTGCGTACCTATTCTTGAGTGAACTGGTCAATCATGAGACGAGGAAATATAAAAAATGCGTACTTGTTAAGAACCAGTGCTCTGTAAAATCGGCGCGTTACACCAACCGTCGAGACTGTCAACAACTGGCAGATCACAAGTTGGTCTCGACGTGATATGTCAATTGCAAGCAAGCAACTGTCTCCAGGCAGCCCAACAGCACTGAAAGTAACGTCACCGGAAGTATATCTCGCCGATGCTGTAAACGCGTGAAATGCGGCAGTCAACTTCAGACGATCAGTGAGCTGAATGAATGAGAAGGATACGTACTCTAGATCGTCTCGCCGCTCCAAAATGCCTACGTGCTGCCTAATCTGTCGAATCCATACGTCCTCCCGGAAACCCGGGGCGCGAGCCACCCACGACGGTATGCTCAGAGTGACGAACGCTCTCCGCAGTATCGCGGGACGTGTAGCCTTGCGGTCTTGGAACTTGACCATGAGTACTTGGTCAGCACCTCGTCTTCCTTCTGAGAATGATGTCGTATCCATGAAATCCATTGGTTGGCCTGGATCGGGATTTGAGCTACTTCCGACGAGAAAGAGGAGTATGGATGACTCACTTCCGTGTAAGTACCCGCGTTGTATATCAAGTATGATAAATCGTTTGGTGATGTTGGTGGCCACGAACGACAGGATAGCAGATATGAACGAGAACTCGAATATGGGGCTTGCACGAGGGATGGCTTGAATGATGAGATATTCAAGTCGTTCGCAGTGATGCTGCGCCAATGAAAGGCACGTCGCTTTGTACAACTTCGTAAGAGCTCATGTACAATAGTTTATATGCGGCTCACCTAGTGCTTCGTCAGACATATCCGCATCGCGGAGTACAATCGTGAGCCGAGAGACAGAGATCAAGCTCCTAGTGAATCTCGCGAAATGCGTTCGCTCGCCATCTTCAACGTCGCGAGCGGAGTGTATACCGAGTTCAACGGTACCGCTATACTCCGCAAGGCTAGCCGCGGCGAAGAGGTCGAATATGTCGTCCATGTCAGAGCAATCTAGAACAAACGCCTCGATCTTGCAGAGCCGGGCGGAATGTGCGCTCGCTCGGTTCCCAGAGTTCCTGTCTGTCGTTGATACATCAACACAGTCGAAGGAGCGTAATCGGGGGAGAGAGTATAACAAGCGGAGGAGGGACGTTGTGGACGGCAATGTGACGCCGCAGAGCCGTAGATGTCGAATGGTCGAATACGTGGAGAGACATCGGAAAAGAGAACATGTGTCCACTGTGGCCGTCTGCCAAGCGCCGTACATGACATGCAGCTCGTTGAGATGACGCAGTTGCCCCGAGAGCATCGCCGCGAACGTTCCGAGGTGCGCTATCGAGCCGGAATGGCGACTTCCATGAATCTGGACCGTCCGTGCTTGCAGCTTGCGGACGCGAGCGAACCTCGAAAGACTGGCTACGTCTCTCTGGCTATAGAGCTCCACGGTGCGTCGATAGCCCTGGGGTAGATAAATCTGGGTACGAGCACGCCACGACCGACAGACGACGCTGCATGCAAATAATGCGAGCCAGTCATGCTGGAATTCGTCAATGATTGTCCACCAGAGCTCAAGTGGCAATTTGCAATCCGGATTAAGGCTGAATGTGGGTCGTGCATCTTCAGTTTTAGTGTTAGGCGGCTCCTCCCTGGTAGATGCAAATGGTGGCAGTGCTTCAGCGATAGGCATCAGATTCATGTTGGGCAGATACTCACGAAATCGGCGCATGAATCGGCGATAGCATGATAGGTATGTCTGAATGCTTCCCTCCAGTGCCGATCGTCAAGTTGCGCAGGGAGGTCCATAATCTCTCCTTTGTGCTCTGCCTGGGAGTAGCCGAGAGCGTCAAAGTCAAAACTGGCGGAAGCTGCAACGAAACGGTCTTACACGACTGCGAACGGCATAGTAAGCTTCGTTACGAGTCACAGAATCAGTTGAGAAGGGATTTCTGGCAGAGAGACTAGCGTAAGGACGACGGTCGCGGGGTTATGAAGACATTGCTGGCGGGAAGCGGCAGGGAACAAGAGGATATGTTAGGTAGCGAAGACTGAATCTCACGCCCTCATTCCAGACGGTGGGGCAGTGATAGAAAATCACCACAGTGGCGTTTATGAGAATACAACGACTTATGACCGACAGGCGTCTGATCGTTGCATGCGTTCGTGTGAAGCATGTCACAGGTCATGAATTTGACTCACCCGCTGCCTTCTGAAGTCCAAATTTGGGGGTCTAGGAAAGGGTCGGAGTCATTCGAGCGAACACACGATTGACGTTGAGTACTGTGCCTCCGAGTCCGAGGGCAGTTACTATCCAGTTGGACCCGGCGCGGCGATCCAGTGTTATGCCAAGGCCCGGTATTTGCCCAGTTTTGATACGCCTTCACTCACTTATTCGCACCATTCTCGAAGTATCGTAATACCAGCCATTGCAGTTGAGCGTCGATCAGAATCCATCTACAAACAGCAGTTGAAGTTGGCAGCGACATCCATGATCTGGGCGCCTCACAGTCGCCGGACAGCCACCGCCACTTCGCCACCGCTCTTTGCACTCGTCCGCCAATAGGCTCTACGTACGTCGGGCGATGCTGGTAGCTGATTGCAGTTGTGCGCGATTAGCCACTGGATGGATCCGACCTTGTAGCGCTTGATCTGGTCAACCCAGGTATCCTTGCGGAGATCTGGTGTACGGACAACCCACGACGGTATGCGAAAATCGACAACGGCGCGTCCGCGGTTGAAGTCATGGCGCATACGCAGCACCTGTTCAGCATCCCAAACCCGTTCTTCATGCGGCATGGCGTTCGCTAGTGTGTGTTCCGTCCATGTCCCTTTCCCAGTGTCGTGAGTGACTTGAAAGGAACAGGGAAGCATTCGGCGACTCACCACCTAGTAGGTACTCGGATGTGATTGGAAAAGGAATGGTCTTGCCGATCGGAATGGTGGTAACAATGGTCAAGACTTTCAACAAGAATGAGAGCTCTGATAATACGTTATGACGGGGTGTGACACTGATGTTCACGGACTTGAGCGTCCTTCGGTGGCGCTGCACCAGAGAGAGACATTGTACTACAAGTATGCAAACATCAAATTTTGGATGATCACGATGAATTTTGAGCTAGAGCTCACCTGATGCATCATTAGACAGAGCCGGGTCACGAATGAAAACCGTCAACCGACGTGAGCGTCCAAAACGCGTTGTGGCCAAAAGTTGACATATGTCGTCTCCATCGGGACAGTCGAAAACGAGTTCATTTAGCTCATATGGATCATCTGGAGTCGGAAGCAAGCGCAACGTGTCGCCGTATCGCCTGTCTGTCGATAGGACATTGACACAACGAAGGCAATCTATTCCGGATAAAGCAAGGAGTAGCTGGGCGATGGTCGTGGTCGAAGGCAATGTCACATCGTAGAGGTAAAGACATCGAATGGTAGTAAATGTAGAGAGGCACCGAGAAAGCGAGCGCAAGTTCACTGTCGCGGCGCTCCATACACCACGTATGATGTGTAACTCCTCGAGCTGATTCAACCGTCCAGAAAGCATCGCGGCGAACGTCCCCTGAGGCAGGTGTAATTGAGCACGGACATGCCACGTTCGATAGACCTCGGTGCAGGCCAGTAGTGCCGACCAATCCCACTGAAGATAGTCTATGACCTTCCACACGATCTCGGGCGGCAGCCGGAATGGTAGTCCGTAGGCACGATCGTGATCGCTGGAGGATTGTACGCTGGAGGATTGTACGACACTTTCAAGGTACCAGATTAGTAGTCCGTAGTCGTAGGTAGGATCGTAATCGCAGGAGGATCGTACGAAACTTTCAACTGAGTCCCTCAAAACGAAGCATGCCATCAGCAAAACATGTTGAATAGATGGTTTACGCCAGGACTTACGACCAATAATACCGGTGCCCATGCATTATGGGTCGAGGAGTGCTTGAAATCGCTGTGATAATCGAGAGTCTCCAGCTCTGCTCAGCTAATAAGCACATGTGTCTTGATCTGTGCATGCGCTCACGGAGGATGAACGTGCTGAGTACTGAGTGCCGGAAGTGCCGGCTTCGGATTCCTCTGACCTATTCCGATACTCAGCAAGACATACCGGGCTCATTCATGCAAGCACTCACAGATCGCCTCTCTGAGACATGGAGTATTCGAGGGGGGCATTGTTCGGAGTCGGACTTCTCGTTTTCCTACTCGTCAAATACCGCAGAGCGTGGCGTATTCCGCAACCGTGGGTTGTCGTATCAGTCCTGTTTATCATTGCCATGTTGAAGGGTGCTAGTTTGCACGTCGCCACGAGGTCGGTCCCAGGAAAGCAGAGTGAGATCTCCCAGCCTGAGACGTTCAACGAAAGAGAAAGCATATAGTACTAGTATCATACTGCAACTCAAGTGCCGCGTCCACATTCTCCCACGGACGCTCAGCCACCGCACCAGACCGCACCGCCACGGTGGCCGCTAAGTACGGTGACCCGGCACCACTGCTTCGAGCTGTTGCATCGCTGGCTCACCAGTACCCAGGGCGCACCAGCATGTCTGGCGGTAGTACCGGTACCGTCGACCCACTAGGTGGAGGGAGGTAGATGCAACTCACAGATATCAAAGGTACTTTCACAGCAGTGACTCCGCCGGCATTTCATCATGAACTTCGTGGACTCGGAAGTTCTCGCTCAGTCGCTGGTCAGTGACCTGGTGTCATTCGTACTGTATGCTTTGGCTTAACTCTTCCGTGCGAACTCAAGTGCAATGTGTGACGACCTGGTCTTGTTTCGACTACATGGCGCACTGAAGACTAGCGACGCTGCTAACATCATGATGCAGTCGTCAGCCACTGTCAGCCATCCTGGGTAAGAACATATTGTACTGTTCGTTGCGTTGACCTCCCTAATCACTACTTCAAGCCAAGTTTACGCAAGTGAACGATGTCGGGCTCCAAGCACGAGCTCGCCCCGGGTACGTGTCAATATATTGTGCGCAGTTGTTGACACACCGACTCACCCTACCACTCGCATTGCAGGCGCCATAGCTGGCATCGTGATAGGAACGCTGTTTGTCCTCATCGTCTTATCCGCGACCGGTATTATCCTTCATCACCGGCGACAACTTGTATCCGTCGACACGTCTCATCTGTCCGCCGAGAAGCCTGCGCCCCTCAGTAAGACCCCGCAACGACGTGCGAGGCGGGCTCCATCTCGCAAAGCCGCGCCCAAGCTCTCTGTGGACCTCATCAGCTCCCCTATGCCTTTGGCGCGGGCCAGCCGCGACCCCGAGAAAGACTGCGGAGATACCTCCGTGTCCACGCTCAACGTGGTCATCTCGCCCTCGCTCCCGCGCATCTTCAAGGTCGATACGGAGGACGGAGAGGGCGCCGCAGTAGAAGTACGCATCACTCCTCCGACACCTGTTGCCAGCCGAGGAGATGTTGGCATGCCGTCGCCGACGAGGGGTCGGTATCAAAGGAAGAAGATAGCGTCGGGCGTCGGATTGGGTATGGTGCATGTCCAGAGCGAAGGCGAGGCGAAGTGGTGGGTAATGTGAACGGTCGCTCCATTATCTGCTGGACGTGCTGCGGATGTGTACTTGTCAGGGTGTCACTTTGATATTCCAGGATGTGACCCTGGCCAACAGCTCGTGAGACCGCGACGCTGTAGACTGAATCAGTGGAGAGTCTGGTCACTTTAGTCGTCACGCATCTCGAAGCGGGCCCGGTTGGTGATAAGCTCAATATACTCATACTTATACCGGTAATGAGGTACGTTGTTCGTTGCGAACGTGCAGCAAGTACTCGTCTCACTGGGGAAGCTAGGCACCGTGATCTGACATTGCAACAATGCGGTGACTAAGAACACTTCGTGTGCTGGCAGCATACCTCGGCGGAACAGCTCTGGGCTATAATTAGAACGGAACGAAATGGTCTAAGAATAGACTGAGTTCGTTGAATCTCAGGTGAGCGCAGTGGTGTCTGTCGCTTCATCATATCAGGCCGAAGGTGGATGTACAACCCGACACCTCGTAACAAACACTAGTAGGGCGCAATATGATGGGGATGTAGCCTTTGTTGTTCACAGTAGATCCTCTGAGTGACATTCGTTGTGGTATCGTACACTGACTTCTAGAGAAAGCCCCGATTTCGGAGAGAAGACGTGCCTGGGCGACGACAAATCCAACACACACGTGCGCTCATCCTTGATGCAGGGAGGTCGGGAGTCGAGGTGGATGTAGGGCTCGGCGAGGACGACAGAGGAGGTCTAGATAGAGTAGTTAGGCCGCCGAATGTCAATGGAAAACGTACTGGTATCGAAACACGTCTCGACACGTTCTACTCGACATTTATTCCACGCGCGAACCGTCTTGTCGCGCAAAAGTGCCGGAGTCGAAGACGCGGGAGGAGAGAGAACTCGGGGAGAGGGAATTCGATGGAGATCAGGGCGCCGCGCCGTCACGCGGCCCAGTACAAATACACGCGCGAGATTCTGGAAGCACAGCAGAGCGAGAGAGATAAGATGAATAGGAGAGCGCGGGCGGGACATCGACGAGTTTGCGCATAGGCAATCGCATCGTAAGAGTCTGTTGAGAGACTCATTCAGCGATGCAGAGAAACGAGGGAGAAAAGGAAAAAAAAATATAGGGCATGTAATCATGATGACGCGGTGACAGGCCAGGACTCGTCAATCATTTAGCCATCGCGAGGATCTCCTTCACCTGCTCAACGCTTTCAAGCGGCACAGGGTTGGTCTTTCCCCACGCATCTTCCAGGGACGCCTTCGCGACGTTGTCCCATACATCTTCGCCGACACCCACCTCCGTCAATGTCGTCGGGAAATGCAGAGCCTGCACGAAGGCCTTTACGAGGTCTCCGGCGTCAGCCTGAGCTTCTTCAAGTCCTGCCCGAACAAGGGTGTCCGGTATAGCGGACCAGAAGATCGCTGAGACCCGCTGTTGCAGCTGTGCGTTCGACGGGGAGTGCGCGGCGTTGTACTTGAGCACCGGAGAGAGCATAATGCAGGAGGTTATGCCGTGTGGTACACCACAAAATGCGCCCAGCTACATTCGGTGGCATGGCTTAGTAGGGGCCTCGCATTCAGTATGTAAGCTTCAACTTACCTGATGTGTTATCGCGTGGGACGCACCCAGTGGGACTTTGGATACAATAGACCGCACTGCCTTCCACGCGCCGATCTGGCATGCCGCACGCGCCGCGGCATCGGTCTCATCCTCCTTACACTTCAACAGACCCTCCGTGAGAGCCCTCAAGCCCTCCTCCGCGGTGTCCTTGATATCGGCGCTGCTTCTGTCGGTGCAGAGCGTCTCGACGCAGTGGTCCACCGCACGTACGCCCGTGCTCAGCCAGAGGTGCAGTGGGGTCGTGAGCGCGAGCTGCGGGTCGAGCACAATGAGGTTTGGTGCGCAGGCGGGGTGACCGAAGTGCTGTTTCTTGCGTGTGATCGGGTTCGTACAGCCGCTGTTTGCGTTCCACTCCGCCGCTGAAAGAGAGGTAGGCACGCATATGAGCTTGAGCGTGGGTTCTCTGACGGTCGCCGGCGAGTTCAATTCGCCTGTTTTCTTGTCTACATATCCACCGTTGAGAGACTCCATGGAGTCGACGTCCATTTTATCAACGGGAAGCGAGGCGTGAATGATCTGACTCGACGCGTATATATTAGTGAGTGTTTTGTTCGTGCACATAATCGACACTCACTAGGGCAGCCTTGGCCGCATCACTGTACGAGCTGCTTCCTAGCGTCACGATAATGTCGGCGCCGTTCTCCTTCGTCTCCTTCGCGATCTGGAGCACCTCGTCGTACGGCGTGTGGCTCTTCACACCGATCTTCTTTCCGCACAGTTTGTTGCCAAGCGCCTCCTCCAATCTCTTGACCGCATCCGTCTGCGCGTTCAAGCTCGTCGACGCGACGAGGTACACCTTGGAACATCCCAGCTTGTTGACCTCCTCGGTTACTGCGCTGACGTAGTCTGCACCGAACACAGCGTCACGGCCCTTGTGCCCTGCGCTTTCGAACTGGGGAATGCGGAATTGTCTTACTCGGGCCATGTCTTGATGGTAGGGGAGAGTTATTAGAGCAAGAGCGAGTTAGTAGAGCAAGAGCGAGTCCATGTCTCCGAGGAATATATGGATTGGATCGGGATTTCTTCCGCATCGAAGCAGACGTTTGATGTCACGCATGACAGATGCCTGGATTGCCTCCGCTAGTGTCGGATTCGGTCTCGCAAACTCGCCCTCGACGAACGGCGATTGACAAGTTATGTGTAGTAAGCGGCTCCCGGACGTAGCGGAATTCGACGGCAAGGCTGAGCCAGGCAGCCGCGACCTTAGCTACGTCGGCCCAGGTTGAGCGGCACAGTGGCCGCCAACGCTCGATGACCTCCACTCCTATACGCACCTTTTGTGCGTGGCCCAACGTTGGGGACTTAGCTGTGAACGTGTTCTGAAGTCACTCAGTCTCAAGAAACGCGAATTGGGCGGAACATACCGCCATTTGTTCAAGAGGCTAGATGAAGCTGACTCCATGAAACAACATCCTAGCCCTAAGACGCTCTAGTCTAGGCGGTCTAGAACCATACCACCACTACTGCGTCTCAAGAGCTCCACCAGATCCTCTCTTGCCATCAACTTCTCATCGTGATCGAGCAGACGTGCGAAGAGCTCCGGATCCTCGCGAGGTAAGTGCAGGAAGGATTTGCCCACATCTCCAGCGACGGTAGCGGCGGTGCTGCCGATCTTCTTCCAGTTGACGTGGTGCGGTTTCGCAGGAGCGGCTCCTTCTTATGCTCCTTCTTATTACGCGCCTCGAGTCTTCGGGGAAGTAGATCCATGTCTCCCACAGCACGAGCGCGATGAACGGTAGTGCTGAGAACGTCATGGACGGCCGGCGCGTGTAGTCCGGCCCTTTCGCTGCTGGGGTGGGCCTGTTCAGCAAGTGCGAGGGGGACGACGACCTACAACCTACACCGCATACATCTATACCCGACAAGGCGAACCGATATCACGCATTATGACGAAGGTTTCGACTCTTTCGTTGGAAGCCATTGTACAGAGTGTCGATTGTACATGGGCCATGGAGGTAAGACAACCTGCTTGACTTGTGAGTGTGCCCCTACGAATCAAGTTTATGGTGGACATACCAGGCAGAGAACGACCGAAGCGACCCCGAAGATACCGAGAGTGACGCGCAGAGACTGGAAGAGAGCTCCGACTATGAACGCAAACATCTGAGAGTAGGATATGAGGCTGCAAGCTTCACGGCGAGAATGGATCGAACCGAACCACTTACCGCCGCTGCAATCAAGGTGAACTTGGTGATGTCCTCAACGAGTTTCTGCCCCTCGAAATCCTGTGGAAGGATGTTGCATCAAGA